AAGAACTGATAATAAAGAAAATGACTGAATGTGAAACCAATAAAGACCACTTAATGCACATTCTCTACCGAATTCTTATTAACTGCCAAGTCATTAAAAAGTAAGACGATAAATGCTTATTTTCTAGCATGACTCATTTATAAATCAGTGGCCCAGCTTCTAAATGTCAACTTTATACTATGTATCATACACATACCTAATGCGTACAGTTCTGGCTTCCAAACTTGAACAGGTTATGCGCTCCCCTTCCTCATACCACGCTGCTATGGGCTCAAAAGAGGTGGACTTCTACTCGGTCTGCAGGGATCTGAGCTTCCACTAAAAGCTTTGAATCATAGTTTCAGGGGTTTAGCACAACTGGGAAGTGTTTTGTATTAGTGCCATTAGAGAACTGTGAGACAGAATTTTATGACAAGGGACACTGTTCACTGAAAATCATTTAGCATGCTAGTATTTAATGATGATTAGGTTCTGTGAAAGATCTGGAAAGACCAGAACCCATCCTGAAAGAAGCCTAAATGGGGCGGAGCAAGGAGTGAAATGGTATTGTTAGACACTATAATGTGTAATATAATGTATCTTGGTTGAGTAGAAGCGGGGAGTTGAAATGTGGGGAGTGGCAGAAGGTGGCCTCGAAGGAAAGAACGAGATTTCCAGCCACGGCTCTAGAATGCATCTGCCAGTGTCAGACACGGGCACAGAAGGCTGCTGGCACTTCTTTTCTGTAACAATTCAGCAAGACCTAGCGGGAAAAGTCAGGTTTGGATTTGACTCATAAATTTGAGCAAGAGGAAAATGACAATTTTGAGTGGGAAACGAGGCACTTTGGTCCAGAAGACCAAACAATTCATATAGTTCTAGCTTGTTGAATGATTAGGAGCCCGCAAGTTCCTCGATCCTAGGCAAAGCCTGAAGGGTGGATATGTCTTTTGTTTCTCGACTGGAGGTTTGAGGGGTACAGTGCCTCTGTACCTTCTTATCCTTACCTTCCTTCCCAAGCTCTTCCACCTACTCAGTCCTGCACCCCCAGTAAAAAATTGGCTGCCTTGTTTTGCCATAACAACTAAGGTCTGTGCTTTACCATATCCAAGGTCACATCTATCCTAACTAGTAGATATCTCTTAGAGAAGATGGGACTGCTTCATTTGATGGCTGCCCAAACAAATTCAGGTTCAAGATTAACACACTTAATTCACTGTTAAGATCTGAGAATTATCTTTTAAAAACAAAGTGTTTATAAAGGATTTCCACATTGGCAGACCAGGTGATGCAAACCTTTGGGGTCCCAATCCAAAACAGGTGCACCCTCTGACAACTAGAAAAAGGGTTCAAACTATTTAAAATAAAAATCTGCATGAAGGCACTGGGGAGCTAACAAGGCATGGAAAAGGATGGGGCCGAGATCTTGGCAGGAAGGAGATAACCCAGAAGTGAGTCTGATATGTTTCCCATCTGATACTCATCCCTGCCAGGTGCCTGCAAATAGTGGAAAAGTCGGCTGCCGAGGGACTGGAGAGTCGGAAAGCCTCTTAGGGAAAGAGGGACAAAAGCCAGTCCTCGGCCTACCAAGGAGGGGAGCCCTGGTAGACCTGTTTTGGATTGGGACCCCAAAGGTTAACACCCCAGCAGTGAGAGTGAACGGGGACTAGTTTGGCTTTGCAGTCACTGATGTCAACCTTCAGATCATCTCAATTCATCAACTGGACTGCGAGCACCCCTGCGGTCTGCCAGAAGCAAAAGTCTGTCTGGAAGAAGTATCCAGAGCAGGGGTCAATAAACTTTCTCTCTGAAGGATGAGGCAGTGATATTTTAGGTTTGGTTGGCCAGATGGTTTTTGCTACAACAGAGCTCCTACACAAGACAAATGAACGAGTGTGGCTGTGTTCCACAAAACTTTATGCATGGACCCAGAAAGGCGAATTCCATACAGTATCTGCATGTCACAAAATACTCTGATCTTAAAAACCGATTTAAAAAAGCCACATAAACAGGCACTGAGCTACCGAATTTGGCCCAGGGGCACTTGCTGTGCTTGATCTAGAGCTTCAAGTTTTTCCTACAACTTTTCATATAAACCAAAACCATAAATACAATGTTAAAACATCCAATTGAAAATATCTAAAAGAACCCATTATTTTATTTTAATTTTATTATTTCTTTTTTAATCCTCACCCGAGGATAATTTTACATTTATTTTCAGATACAGCGGGAGGGAGAGTGGAAGAGAGAGAAACATCGATGTGAGACACATCGATTGGCTGCCACCTGCATGATCCCAACCAGGGCCAGGTACATCTGCACCGAGGTACGTGCCCTTGGCCAGAATTGAACCCAAGACTCTTTTTGGTCCACGGGCCGACACTCTAACTGCTGAGCCAAACTGGCCAGGACGGACCCATTACTTTAAAAGTGGAAATCACAATGGAAATCCAACAATATTTTGAACTTAATGAAAATAAAAATACCATGATATCAAAACTTGTAAGAAACAGCTAAAACTATGCTAAAAACATTTATAGCCTTCAATGCATCTGTTAGAAGGCTGAAAACTAAGTGAATTAACCATCCATTTCAAAAAATTAGAAAACAGCAAATTAAACCCAAAGAAACAAGCTGGAAGTAAATAACTAAGGTAACAAAATTAGTGAAAAAGAGACAATCAATGGTGTCAAGTAAACTGCAAATCTAAGTATGAAAGGCCAAATTTCTAGAATATAGCAGAATATCTCTATGCCCTCAGGTAAATGAAAATTTCATGAAATCTAACATTTTAAAAAAGTACTGATCATAAAAGATCAATAAGGTGGACTAAATAAAATTAAGAATTTCTTTTCAGAGACACCATTCATAGTGAAAAGGCAAACCAGACTAGAAGAGAATATTTGTACCATAACTCACACTGGGATTATATTGTAAACAGAACAAATAACTGCTCTTACAAATTTACAAGAAAAAGACACTCATCCAATAGAAAAATAGGCCAAAAACACCTTGAAAAGGTACGTCACAAAAGATATCCCAATGTCCAATACAGATGAAAAAGTGTTCTATTAGATTAGTTATAAAAGTGAAATTAAAATCACAATATACCATTACATATCCACCCAAATGGTTAGACTTAAAAATGACTGACACTAGGTATCAGTGAGGACATGGAGCATCAGGAACTAATACACTTCGGTGGGAGAGTAAACTGATACTCACGTTGGAAAGCTCTGGCATTATCTCCTAAATATATAGATTCTATGACCCAGCAACTCCATTCCTAAGAATATGTCCAGTTAAAAGGCATGCACAGGTAACTAGGACACACCTACAAAAATCTTTGTGTCATTATTTGTAATAGTCGGAACCTGGAAACCACCTCAAATGCCCATGAACCACAGACTGGATAAATAAGTCATAGGATAGTCAGACTAGTATACAGAAATGAGAACAAATTCCAGCTACCTGAGACAACATGGGAAAATCTCACAACATAAATATGTTAAGCAAAAGTAGCCAGACATAAAAGAATATATTATAATTCCATTCACGTGACATTCAAAAATATAGGCAAAACCACACTATGGTGTTAAGACGGCAGTTACCTTTTGGCAAACGAAGACAGTAGTGACTGGGAGGGAGCCGCAGGGATCTTGTGAGTCCTCTTGCCAGAATAGTCTACTAGTGACCCAGGTGTTAGTTTTGTGACAACATATGAGTTGTATATTTATGTTTGGTGCCCTTTTCTGTATTTCTGTTAACAGTTAAACAACAAAATCTATAACACGTCATTTTCTTGTGGATATTCACCTAAAAAACCACGTCCCTCTCATATTCTCTAAAATTTAACTTAAAATTAAAACTTCTCAAATTAATGATAGAACTAGGATTTTCTAGTTAGAATATATAAATACATGGGAAGCAGATATACTTACTTATAATTCTGGGTATTGTCTTCATGAAATATAAAGATTCTCAGAGAGAAAGAAAACAGGGCAGGCATACTCCAAACTTGGATGTCAGCTCTAACCCCAATATATGAAGTAAATGATATGGTTTTTAGGAAGGCTATCATTGTAATATACATACTATGCATTTAGAACCATAGTTTTTAATTATTTTTGGTGACTATCCACATTTTTACTATCTTATAATAGCCATGTAAAATTAGGTTCATAGGAAAAAAACCCTGTCTCTCATTACAGTAAAATAATGACATGTTACTTTAGTAGATTAAAAAAACCCAGAATTTTAAAATCAAATATAATCTGCTACAATGTAATCTTATTTGCTATTAGCATCCTTTAACTTTGTAGTTGAGCACTCAAATATACGACTGCAGGAAATATTTAGTAATTTATTCCAGCAGCCTTGTCATTATTAAACCCTCATCAAAAAAGTTCCTAAACTGGTATCTGAACAACAAGTTTATGAAATATGTTTTTATTGATTTTAGAGAGGAAGGGAGAGGGGAGAGAGAAACACTGATCAGCTGCCTCTTGCTTGCCATCTACGGGGGATCGAGCCTAAAACCTGGGCATGTGCCCTGACCAGGAATCAAATCGGCAACCTTTTGGTGCATGGGAGGATACTCAAACAACTAAGCCACGTGGACCAGGGCTGAACAGCAAGTTTTGAAATATATATATTTCTCATCACTCATAATACATATGGAATGTTGATATAGATAGGTAGTTTTAAAAGATAACCCTTCAATCTATAACACAGTGTCCATTATAGCATTGTAACAATTTTACAGAACAAATTAGATAATGTGGTTTAACAAGATGATGATCAAGAATGGAATTTTAAGCAAACTCTTTAAAAACTCTGTTAAGTACCTAATAACCTCCTTCCAACTTCATTCTCACTTTTGTGAGGCATGTGAAAGTTGTTATTCTAATTTTTCAAATGGGAACAAGACCGTGCAATTGAGAGAGACATAGGACCAAACTCAGTGATCTTTACTTTTCTTTCTTTCTTCACTATGCCAAGCTAGTTCTCCTTGACCAAAACACATGGACTGAAAAATTTTAAAAGGATATTGATCTTTCAGTTTCTTACTAATCTTTATTCATGGAAATAAAATAGTCATTAGCATTAAGCACATTTTCTAGGATGGTATACAATCATTTATAGGTAAAGACTTTGGCATTTAAGACATTAAACATTTTATGAATTTAATGATCAAAATGTAATAAATTAAACTTGTATCTCTAACATTATATTGGTCATAATACTTCTCACAGTGTGCAGTACTTGAGTTTAAAGATGAGATGCACACAATCATTACCATCACAATGACCTCTTTTTAAAGTTGTCTACATACCCATTCTGGACATTTAGGTTAATGGGTTGAAAACAACTGCATTACACCATATTTATAAGCAAGCCAGAAAATTTTATTTGGAGTAGTAGCTAAGAAAACAGCTTTTTATGGAGAGTGAAAAAGGGAAGAAGGGGAAGCCAAGATAATAGCAATCCCATAGGAAATAATTTTAATAGTTTAAAATCTTTCACAGAATCTTATTGAAAAGGAGGCAATATTCATTTACCATTTGACAGATATGCAAATAACCCTCAATAAGAATCTTGCCTAATAATTTAGACCTTGGATTAGTATAATTTCAGTTTCAGAAGTAAGTCTTTAAAGTATATACAGAAAAGTACAAGTGAGCCAAATATAAAGTAGTGCTAGATGATTTTTCACTTTTTATGTTCTTGAAAATCACCAGTATAATTAGGAGCCCCTCATAAAAATGCCCCTTAAACCATAACTTCAAAGTACCTTGAGAGAATTATCACATTTTTCAATTCTTAGTTTTCTGTTTACACTTATCATATAGAAGTAATCGTGACAGCAGAATTGTAAATTCTGCTTTGGAAAAACAAATGTTGTTCTTCTTCCTGACTTTTACTTCAAGTTGAATCCCTGTTGTTGGTAATACGTAGATATACCTCCCTTGTTAAAGCAGTAAAAACTACAGACATTAATTTAGTATCTAAAATCAAAGTACAGCTTTATCTATGAAATTATGTGTGTACCTGACATATGGCAAAGACAATATAAAATGTTCTCAGAGACTAATGCCATTATGGATAAAAGGTTTGACATATATTTTTTCCCTAACAACTTAAAAATCAATGTAAAAATATTGGCTAATCACTACTGGACAGATGTTTAAATGCTGAATTTTAAATTCAGTGTTAGCTTCTCTCTCATTAAAGACAGGGTGTTGTACAAACATTAAAGGTACAATAAGTTAAAAAATAAAATCTTGCATTAGTATAGCTAACACAAAATGATGCAAAAACCTGTTCACAGAGCATCAAATAACAATGAATGAACATTATAGCCCAAAGAAAGAAGCAGAACAATCTCACAGTCAGGCTGTGTTCACATGCAATAATTTAGCCTTATTGTCCCCTCACTTCACCATGCCCTGCCCTAAACAGAATCTAACACAAACTAACACCAAAAAATTCTGAATTGACGTTTAGTAAAATGAAGTTTGGCTTTCTGCATATATACTACAGAGCTTGAGTTAACCCAGAAAAATACAAATATTCTTATTGTGGCTAAAGATCAAAAATTAATATTAAAAAAGAAAGGTTTGGCATTTAATATGGAAACTTTCCAAACATTCTAAGGATATACTAAAAAGGCTAGTAATGAAAACCAGTGATAAACTAGAACAGTAGACACTGAGATATACTGTAAGAGCCTACAGATTGAAACAAAACAAGAAAATTAGCAGACATTTAAAGTAGCCTCCACAAATGTGATTTTTCTCTCCCCTCTATCATTTATATTTTAGCTTTCTTTTTCAGCCCTTAAAAACACTAGCTGGAATTTTTCAAGCTGTGAGACATACATTTCTTTCTTGTTTATCTTCTGTCGTAATACAATAAATACTAAATATAACACAGCTTGTTAACAGTATTACTTAAAACACTGTTCTGACACAACTCAGAATCTGCTTCTTGGATCGTCAAACTGGTAGCGCTATTTTGCTGATTCAAAAAATACTTGTTTTTCCTTTGATGATCCGGTCCTTGGATAAGCTATTCATAATGCAAGTAGCCTGTAGCTCTAAGGCCTACCTCATTTCTCAGAATCATTAATAGTACTTTACCTGAATGTATAAAACCATGAAAGAGGAGCTTCTAAGTGGACCTTTCTAATACTCAGTTTGAAATGGTTTGAAACGGTCGATGACATTTTACAATCTAACTCTGCACACTTACGCAGAGGTAGTAAATACCACTAGAAAATCATAAACATTGCCCTAATAAATTAGCTCCACTAATGAAAACAAGTTTCAAGATTTGTTTCATTAATAAGAAAGTGTTACGATCAAGTTATGGGTCATACCACCTAAACGCTGAAGCAAACAGAAAACAAAGCTAGTCAAATTTAGGAGTAATCCTCATGGTTTAAAGCTTGTAAGAAATGAAAATACAATAAAATGAGATGTATATAGTTACCATCTCAGAACCAATGTGCAGTAATACTATCATAACTGTTGTGTCAGCATGACAGTGGAATCAATCTCTATGCTGAGAAAATATACATGCATTTCTCTATTAAATACATATACATCTCATAAATACATCCTTATAGAAAACACCGACTTTACATTAAATTGTCTTTCTCAAAAACAATTTTGCATTGAAGTACAATAAATTACACCTTACTGTTTGTACAACTTAAAATGCTTAAAACAGTAATTAATAGATGTTTACACAGAGAATTATAGTAATATATAAAAGCACTTCAATAAGAATCAGATGAACAACGTTTAAAGTAAGTTTTTTTATAACCAAGCTGTACGAACATTAGGGGGCTTAGGTCTTAGCGACAGGCCACTGGATGTGTCAAAAACTGCTCCCTCACTCTTACAACTGAGACCACTGGTAGCACTAGATGTCCTGGATGCTCCTCCTGAAAATACACAAAAAATAAGAAATGATTTGAATTATTTAAATGACATATATATATAAATCATCTCATGCTTCCTTTCCCAATTTTAAGTGCAGACTAAATTTTTCTTTCCTATCTCACGTTTTTTTGTGTTTTTTGTTTTTTTTTTTAAATAATCCTTACCCAAGGATATGTTTGATTTTAGAGAGTGAGCGAGAGAGAGAGAGAGAGAGACAGAAACATCAGTGTGAGAGAGAAACATTGATAGGTTGCCTCCAGTACGTGCCCCAACTGGGGGATCAAACCAGAAACCTAAGTATGTGCACTGGCTGGGAATCGAACCTGCAACCTTTTGGCATACAGGACAACACTCCAACTAATTAAGCTACCCAGCCAGGGCTCATGTGTTTTTAATAGTCTAATATAATTTTCAACAAGAAATGCACTTCTGAGTTCCCTGTGGAACTTAAAAAATATAATAACAAACATGCCCAGACTCTACCCTAAGGAATTTTGATTCAACAGATTTGGGGTGGAAATAAATGTTTAAAAAAATTTTTTTTAAATGTTACAAGTGAAAAAATACTTTCATATAATTATTTATACAAAAAAATTGACCACATTCAGGACCTAAATACTAAGCATGAGTTATTGGAACAGACCCTCATCTTAGTCACTATACCAAGGAAGTGATGCTTGGAAAATGAATGAATGGAATTACTAGTCATTTGACTAGTTTAAGTCTCACATGGGCACTAGAAGTTGTGTCATGGGAAGGGTTCCAATTTTATTTTAGTACTAGCTTTTGCTTTTTCTAGTTTAGAATGCATACATGAATAACAGCACAGATTTCTGTACAGGAAGATGTCTGGCCCGCCTGTGTATTGCAGAACCTAGCACCGTAGTCACTCTGGCTACATTCTCTGCGACACACCACTGGTCAGATGTGTGACTGATCACATAAAAAGCATTAAGGAGGATTATATCTGGTAACTTTGCAGATTGCTAATTTTTGTTTTACTCAGTAAGGAAGATAAGGCACTTACAAAGGCTGAATATATTACCAATAATTCTTAACTGGCTAAGGGAAATGTTTCAGCAACTTTTAAACAGCACTACTCTTTTCTTCCTTTAACAAATGTATTGAAGTTACCATTATCTCTTCCATTATCTAAGAAAACTACTGATATTTTCAATTGTTTTTTTCTCCTTGTTTCCTCCCTATGCTGCCATTACCTGCTTTAAATGAAGCCTGAAATGAACTAACATAAATAAAACAAAGCATGCCAATGAAAAATCATAAAATGCATTCCAGGAGCAGCATTTAAAAACTCTATCATGCCCTGGCCAGATAGCTCAGTTGGTTAGAACACTGTTAATACGCCAAGGTTACAGGTTTGATCGCTGGCCAGGGCACATACAAAAATCAACCAATGAATGCATAAATAAGTGGAAAAACAAATCAGTGTCTCTCTCTCTCTCTAAAATCAGTCAATAAAATTAAAAAGCAAAATAAAACTTTATCATAAGAGCATTAGTTGTATTTAAAAAGAGGTAAGAGACACAAACAAGTACAAAATAATTTTGAATATGCTTACTTAATGGGCTGTATTGGCCAAGAGTTGACCTCACTCGTCTTAAGGATGGTGATGAGCTGAGATAACCCATATTGCGATGATAGTCCATCAGTTGTTCTGAGCGTTTCATGCCAACTGTTGGTTTCACAGCTTCAAGCCTCTTCAATAAAGCCTTCATTTAAAGACAATCAATTTGAAAGTCAATGTTAGATAAATAGCTATATTTTTCCAAAAGAAAAACTGTTTTTAGAACCTGAAATTTATGAAATAAAAAAGACTTTAAATAACTGTTGAAATACTATGTGAAAAAATATTTCAAATAATATACTTTCAGGAAAATCTAAGGGCTTGACCTATCCTATAGCTAACCAAAACCACTATGATTTTAACAACTGATTACAGGCACATCTTGCTTTTATATCAGGTTACAATCTTTAAAAAGGTGCTGTAAGTTGAAATACATAAAAAGCTGACTTTCTCGGGAGGAGGGTGTCAATGGGAGAAAAAGGAGAAACATTTGTAACAAAAATAAATCAATGAAAAAAAAAATTTAAAAGCTGACTTTCTCAAAGAAATGACATAATGAAAATAAAAATGCTAAGAGACCAAAAATGACCATAAACTTATTGGAGACAGATGGCAGAGATGCAGAACACATGAAGAAGTAAACAAACCAAATGAAAGAACAAAGCCTGCCAACTTTTTTTTTTTTTTGCGTAAAATGCCCTTCCTGTTTGTTTTTTTAAAAATTTTTTTCTTTATTGATTTGAGAGAGAGAAGGAAGGAAAGGAAGAGAGAGATAGAAACACTGATGAGAGAGAACATCGATTGGCCACCTCCTGTATGCCCCCAACCTGGGCATGTGCCCTGACCAAGAATCGAACTGGCAACCTCTTAGTGCATGGGTCAATACTCAACCACTGAGCCACACTGGCCAGGCTTCCCCAGTTTTTAGCCTTCAAACACTACAAGAGAAGCAACTTCTCAGAAACGTTACCTACATAGTGTTAGTGGTTCTCTCTGCTGAGCTGAGAGTTATGATTTAAACATGGTTCTATCTGTAAAGTCTATGGTCTTTTCCATCATAACACTGTTTTTCTCTCTTTGTAGACAGAGAAGCTATATAATTTAGGTGGCAAAACCTCCTAAAATTGTATCTTCTCTATCTACAGTTTATAGCTGCTATGAGCTTTGTAAGATACTGGAAGGAATATAAAAATATATATAGCCTGGCCAGTGTGGCTCAGTGGTTGAGCGTTGACCCATGCACCAAGAGGTTGCTGGTTCAATTCCCAGTCAGGTTGTGGGCCCAATCCCCAGTAGGTGGCATGCAGGCGGTGGCCAATCAATGTTCTCTGTCATCAATGTTTCTCTCTCTCTAAAATCAATAAAGAAAAAAATTTATAAAAATATATATATATAATACTGCCCTGTCATGTAATTTATAACTTAGTTGGGAAGATAATACCATTGTAGGTCTAAGACATTTATAGCTGAGTAAGCAACTTCCTATATATCACATCATCAATGTATTGCATTGGGCAGAGAAACATCAGCTGCTTTATCTAACTGTCCTATTACTACCCACTGAGCTATAAATAGTGGAATGAATATAACAGAAAACTTGATATTTTCAGTTACTTACTAATTTTGTTTTTTTTTTGCTGGTAGAAATCTTAATATTTTCTAGATAAACTAATTTCCTAAATTTACTCATTTGGTTAGATGTATATTTTTCTTTTTTAAGAAAATTCATCAGATGTAAGACATATAAAGTAGTATCAAAATCAATTTAGAAATAATTTGATAATAAGGCAAAAAGTAAACCCATTCTGTAGTCCTGCTATGTTGCTTATCAAGTCTACATGCAGAAATCTGAGGATATTAAAAAACATGATTTAACCCTGGTTGGTTTGGCTCAGCGGTTAGAACATCAGCCTGTGGACGGTAGGGTTGTGGTTTGATTCCTGGACAAGGGCACATACATGGGTTGCAGGTTTGATCCCAACTCTAGCTGAGGTCGTGCAGGAGGCAACCAATCCATGTCTCTCTCACATGGATGTTCCTCTGTTTCTCTCTCCCTCCCCACTCCAACCCCTCCCCTCCCTCCCGTCCACTCTATCTAGAAATTAGTGGAAACATATCTTTGGGTGAGGATTAAACAAAACAAAAACAAACAAACAAACAAACAAACAAACAAACATGATTTAGCTCAGCTATCCAAATCACATGGAACCATACCATGTATCAGTCCGTGTGTTATAACTTAATAGACTAAGCAAGTTAAAAGAATGAGTTCAGATAGAAATAGCTCTTGCTTGTACAAACAGTATCAAAACCATGAAGTACTGATTACAGTATAAACCCTAAAATCAAAAGTATATATAGCCCTGGTCAGTTTGGTTCAGTGGTTAGTGTCAGCCTGACTACCAAAGGGTCTCAGGTTCCATTCCAGGTCAAGGGCACATACCTGGGATGCAGGTTCAATCACTGGCCCTGGTTAGGGCATGTACGGGAGGCAACCAATCTCTCTCTCTCTCTCACATGTCAATATCTCCCCCCCCCCCCCCGCTCTGTCCCCCGCCTCCCTTTCACTCTCTCTAAGAATCAACGGAAAAAATATCCTCAGGTGAGAATTAACAAAACAAAACAAAAAGGGTATATATACATTTCAGTCCAGTCATCAATTTACAACTCCTGCATAAAACTTAAAAACAATAGTTCAAAATGTTGCAATACTTTTAATAGAGTGATAGAAGAAAAAAGTAAGTTATTTAGTCAGAAAGTACTGGATTTAAATCCTGGCTTGAGCCTGGCTGGTGTGGTTCAGTGGCTTGAACGTTGTCCCATGGACTGAGAGGTCCTGGTTCAATTCCCAGTCAGGGCACATGCCAGGGTTGTGGGCTCGATCTCTGGTACAGGGCATGCAGGAGGCAGCAGATCAATGTTTTTCTCTCACATCGATGTTTCTTTCTCTCTCTCCCCCTTCTTCTCTCTCTAAAAAATTAATGAAAACATATATTAAAAATAAATATCCTGGCTTAGACATTGATTGTGTAACCTTGGTCAAATGACTTAATAGGGATATTAATAATGAAATAAACCTCAAACAGTTTTGAGTAGTGAGACCAATGCATATGAAGTGCTCAGAATTGTACCTGCCATATAATAAGACCTTATTAAATATTAATGCTATTATTAATATTGCTTTGTGTTATTTTCTCATTGTTTGACATGCAATAATATTATCTTCCAGCTAAGCTATAAATTACATGACAGGGCAGTATTTTATTTATGTATATCTTTATACTCCTTCCAGTATCTTACATAGCTCACGATTAAATATTTGTTTAATGAACAGTTACTTATGTTCCAATTTATGGTTTACAAAATCTTAGAACTGCTACTTGAATCAGATTCTAATAATAAATCCCCAAATGGTTTGTCTAAACATTTCTTTTTTTTTTTTAAATCTTGGAAGTATCATCCTTTTTGGAAAGAAAAATAACCTAGCTTAAATCCTGTCTTCAAAGGCAGAAAGGTGAAAACAAATGAATGAATAAGTAATGTGTTAATGACTTCTGTAGTTTTCTTCAGAGTTGCTTTGCTATTTTTAAAGTGATAAAGCAAAGACCTTGAAGGACATTAGAAAGTAACAAGTGTCCTATAGTCAGGGGAAATCATTATCTATATTTTCTACAGCTGGAGTCATACTTAGTTATCATTAGGTTTATTTCTTTTATGGGAGGAGACAACAGACAATAAAACAGAGAAGAAAAGCCAGACTGAATGAACTATAAATTATTTCAAGATCTTAGAACAAAGGTACTGATTATTCAACAGACTAACACTCACACTAGGAATAAAATGTGCTATAAATCTTCATCTTTGTGACAATGTATCATTCTTCCTTTAATAGTTCTCCCATTGTAAGAGCTCTAAAATTACTCCTCTAGACCAGCAGATAAAGAACAGAAGAAAAAGGGAAGATTTTATTTTTCGCTTAATGTTTTTAAGAACAGTCTGAATTTCTAAATTTATCCATGTAATACTTTTATTTCAACACAGAAATTCCTGAGTGGAAAGATATGGTCTACTTCTTTTTAGTTCTCTAGATTTAAAATGGAAATAAGTTAACTCCATTTGAGCTCTAGCCTCTAATCCTGATACATTCCCACAGGAATCTTACTTCTTCCCTTATCTTGCTTCAATTACTTCCCCCACTCTCCTTCTTACACAGCTCTCAAGCTGACATACATTTAAAAGAATGAAATAATCTCATTTCTATTAGAAGGTAAAGTGAAACTATAAACTAATTACCTTACTGATCCCCTCTCCTCTGCTAAGATTATTCTAGTGCTCTTTCATTAAAATCATTGATTTATATTATGTTCAAATAAAGATAATATATGGCTTAACAAGAATATTTCAAAGTTCATGGATTAAAAAATGAGTCCCCTTTTTGGAAATAATAAAGTTCTAATATAACTGAGTCTATGTAGCAAGCACGCCCTCTACTGGATAGTTACTTTTTCTTTATTATTCCTTTGACCTATTTCCCTTGGTAATGAGAGGTGGGAAAAGGTTGTGAAACAAAGAATGAGGAAACCAAAATTCACCAGAAGGACGGAGTAACAGCACATTTTAAAGCTGAAGCTCAGGACTCAATTGTATACCATATCTTCACTCTCCTTTTCTACCTGTCTGCACAGTAGCACTTCGTCTTGAATCGTCTCAGTCTAAATACCCTCTGGATTGCTAACAAGTGAAAATAAGAGCCCTGGAGCAGAACTGCTTTAGTAATCATGCCTGTCAGCCATATGAATTGGTCTCTATAACCGGAGATGGAGCAAATGAAGGAATACAAATCATAAAAATTTTAAAGTAATGGACGCTACTTGTGCCTTACATCTGACACAAAAATAACTAAAACAGTGTATGTGTGTGTACATGTATATTGACTATGAACAGCCTAGCAAGCAGATTTAAAACTGTATCAGCTCAACCCTGGATGGTGTGGTTCAACTGGTTGAAGTGTCATCCCATACACCAAAAGGCTGAGGGTCAGAGCACATATCTAGGTAGCAGGTTCAATCCTCATATGGGAGGCAACCAATCGATGTTTCTCTCTCTTAAAAAAAAAGTCAATAAACGTATCTTGAGTGAAGATTAAGAAAAATAGTATCAGCTCACAATGAAGTACTATTATACTAGAGCCAATGTGGCCATAAATAGGGTTTTTGGTAGGTGAAGAGTTATAAAATAAATGTACAAAAATCATGTTTACAAAAGTAAGCAGTTAGAAAATGTACTAAAAATATTTCATGCACAACAGCTTAAAATTACAATAGTTTTGAAAAAACTATTCTACCTTACAAAGTACAATATAAGAAACCTTTGAATAAATGCGAAGACATCATATTTCTAGATAGAAAGGTAATACTTTGAGACTGTCAACACTGCAATTAAAAGGTAAATTTAACACAATTTCAATAAAAATTTATAATAGATTTTTTAATGAAAAAATAATGTCATTATGAAGGATAAATGCATAAGAACAGCCAAGAAAAGTTTTTAAAAGGTATAGAAGTAGCTTGAAATTGCTACAGTGATGTGCAGACAGCTACCATATAGCTCATTACCCACTAACTCGACTTGCTTGGTTGCTATCTACTCCTTGCTGCAGGCAGAGTAACTAACTCCCCTCGAGGATTTAAGACTTCACTGTATTATTACAATCTGAGGTTAAGTACACAGATAAATGGATCTGTACTGATGATGAAACATGAGGTTAAATTTTGAAAACTGTCTTAGTAGTTGTAATAGAAGTTTTATCAGTTCTTTTAGGTCTGAATTTATGTGCTCATTAAGGATCTAATTTTAGTTTAAAACACTACCTGGGTTTAGAACCTTGTCTCAGCCACTTACTAGCTCTGTGTCCTTGGGCTCATTATTTAACCCCTCTAGGTCTCAGTTATTTCATTTGTAAGTTGTGGATAAAAATAGTACCTACCGAAGAGAATTATTGTCAGGATTCAATAAGCTAATATTTGGAAGACACTAAGAACAATGCCTAGCATTCAGTAAGAACTCAGTAAACATTAGCAATTACTATAACTGAATTTTGTAAAGAAAATGTTATGTGCCCGACTGGTGTGGCTCAGTGGCTGAGTGTCGACCCATGCACCAAGAGGTCACTGGTTTGATTCCAGGTCAGGGCATATGCCCAGGTTATGGGCCAAATCCCCAGTGGGGGGCATGCTGGAGGTGGCCAATTGATGTCCTCTCTCATCGATGTTTCTATCTCTCTCTCTCTCTCCCTCTCGCTCCGTCTCTAAAATCAGTAGAAAAATTTTTTAAAAAGAAAATAATATACTATGAATAAATTTTTAATGTGAAGATTTTCAACAGTTTTCATATATATTCCTTAGAACTTCAAAGTATAACCATGTTTTGTTTTTTATCCTCACCTGAGGACATTTTTCCTTCAGACAAAGTGGGAGGAATAGAGAGAGAGATCGATGTGAAAGGGACACATCGAGTGGCTGCCTCCCACACGACCCAACCAGGGCCTGGGACAAATTGCAACTGAGATACGTGCCCTTAGCAGGAACTGAACCCGGGTCTCTCTGAACCACAGGCCGACGCTCTAACTGCTGCTGAGCCAAACTGGCCAGGGCTGTTTTTAACAATCAATATCTTTCATACATTCAAGTAGCAAACCACCAAATTTGACCTCTTTGAAAATATTTTAATCTTTAAAATAAGTGATATATAAATTGTGTTAGCTTTCAGGGATACAATAAAGTGAAACAGATTTAGCTAGTGATTGAATACTTCACAGAAGATATATATATCTGACCCTTGGACATCCTTTTCAGTACTATTGTAGTGATTTAACAGATTTAGTCAAATAGATAATGGAGTTTTCAATATTTTCATTTAAGATTCCCTTAAAATATGGTTTTCTGGGGAAAAACTACATATTGTACCTTACAGGCTGATAGTTCATCACGTATTTCTTCCCAAACACATCTAAACCTACTTTTATATAATTAAGTTTGAAAACTGGGCTGTTTTGAGGTTTCTAGTAAGTTGGACTTAAAATAAATATAAATGCATTTCCTTGATGACTAAAAAACTTCAGTTACTTACCAAATTTTCTCTTTCAATCCTTTGCTGTTCTCTCTGTCTGTTGACAGCACTGTGATATAACTTAGGGGGTTGACTCATCAATTTTCTGGGAACTGTATTTTTGCTTGCTGGTTTTTCAGCCTGTCTTGATAGCTCTTTCAAAAGCCTCTGATTTTCCCGATCAATCTGTCTCACCTCCTCTCTTGTGAAAGAGTAGTTTCTTCTAGGTGCTGCTGAAGGCTGATCTAAGTGATGTTTCTGTGGTCCTTTTTTCTCCAGTTCCAGAAAAGCTACAGAAATGAACAACAGAAGGAAGAATAAAGTAGCACAGAAATATGATGGTACATACTTTAACTCTTAAAAATAAAAAAAACTGCAACCACTACGGAAAACACTATGGTGTTACCTCAAAACATTAAAAATTGCCATTTGACCCAGTGATCCCACTTCTAAGAAGCCTGAAACACCAATCAGAAAGAATATATGAACCCCCATGTTCATAGCAGCACTATTTACAATAGCTAAGATCTGGAAACAGCCTAAGTGTCCATCAGCAGATGAGTGGATAAAAAAACTGTGGTACATATACACAATGGAGTACTATGCAGCTGTAAGAAAGAAAGATCTCTTATCCTTTGAGATGACATGGAGGGACCTGGAAAGTATTATCCTAAGCGAAACAAGCCAAACAGAAAAAGACATATACCACATGATCTCACTTATTTATGGAATATAATGAACATAACAGTCTGAGGACTAGGGCAGACCCAGAGACGTGGAAGTAGGGTACAGACTGACAACCCTCAGAAGAGGGGATGGTGGGGGGAGGGAAGAGATAAACCACAGAACTTATATGCATGTATGCATAACCAAAGGACACAAACAACAAAGCTGGGAATGGGGTGGGGGGTATGGGGAGGAGGGTGTCAATGGGGAAAAAAGGAGAAACATCTGTAACAAAAATTAAAAAAATAAAATAAAAACTACATTAATTCATAAACAGGTATAGATGAATCCAATGTTAATGACATCAAACTACAATTGCGTAGAAAAAAATCCAGAAGTAGCTCTGCGTTTTATGCTTACTGGGTTCTTTCTGAATAAAAGCTATACACAAAACAATGAAAATATTTTATTTAATTTTTTTATCCTCACCCAAGGACACTTTTGCATTTATCTTCAGAAAGAGCAGGAGAAAAAGAGGAAGGGAGAGAGAAACATCAATGTGAGAGAGACACATGGAGTGGCTGCCACCCACACGACCCCAACTGGGGCCAGGGACAAATTGCAACCAAGGTACATGCCCCTAGTGGGAACCGAACCCGGGTTTCTCTGGTCCACGGGCCAGCGCTCTAACTGCTGAGCCAAACCGGCCCAGGCAAAGATGAAGTTTTTTTTTGCCCTGGCCAGTTTGGCTCAGCGGTTAGAGTGTTGACCTGCAAGACCAAAGAGTCACAGGTTTAATTCTGGTTAAGGGCACATACCTCAGTTGCAATTCGGTCCCTGGCCCTGGTTGGGGTCATGTGGAAGGCAACCAATCGATGTGTCTCTTCACATTGATATTTCTCTCTCTTTCGCTCCTCTCTCCCCTTTCCCCACTCCATCCTAAGATAAATGGAAAAAAAATATCCTCGATGAGAAAAAAAAAAATTGTTTTTTTTTTTAACTTGAATAAACTTCCAGGGATACAAGCATTTATATAAATATACACATATTTAAATTCATGTATTTATGAAATATTTCTTTTCCCTAATTTTCTTCAATAAAAGTTTTGTTCAAACTTGTTACAGTATTTCAATATCAGTGTCCATCTTCACCAGAGCCACTTTTTGATTCATCTAATACCATTTACTAGAAATATCAGCTTTACTTTCACCTAAGCTAAAAAAGACAGGATTTAAAGAATTTATGTGTAATGCTACCACTTAAAATTTTATCCAAGCCACATTAAGACGTTCATATAATATTAGCTCTTAAAAAAAAAAATTCATCCTCAGGCATATTCATCATCCCTATTAAAAAACAAACAATATTTGTTTTTTAAATTAACTTTTTAAAAGTTCTGTTTGTTTTTTAAATCCAAACTTATAAACTGACAGGTCACATTTCAAGGAATAATAAAATTTACTAAATTTCTTCGTCTTCTTTGTGAACTTGTCAGATGCGAAATTCTGTGACATTCTTCCAGTCTCCTTCCTCTGAATCTGGCAGGCTTATAACTATGTGGACCGATATGATACAGCCAAAGTGTGCCTTTCAAAGCTAGGCAAAAAAGGAGATGCAGCCCCACCCCCACTCCCTGGAATACTAGTCCTTGGGGCCCTGAGCTACCCTAGATGTTTGACTGCCCTGAGCTCAGCTGCCAGGCTGTGAGGAAATCAAACCACACAGAAGGCCACTATGATCCTAGTCTTGGAGTCATCCTAGGTTGCTGCTTTACATATCTAAGTTTTGTGGTTTGTCAGAACAGCAACTAATACAAAATTTGGGTACCCCCAGGAATTGGGGTACTACTGTTAACAAAAACCTAAATTAGATGACACTGTCTGAGACCAGGTGACAAGTAGAGTTGGGAAAGCCTAGAAGGGATTGCTGATCAAGTGGATGAAGTGGCAGAATTTCAGGAACACCGTTGGCTGTTTGACTAGGTACCTACTGCTGCAGGTAGCCATTTCTGAGCAGCCTCTGCTGCACTTGGACCTGTTTTAGACCCTGAATCTTGAGATTGGGGGAATCTTTGGAAAGGAGAAATGTATTGTTGTGTTTGGAAGGAATATGTATAAATTACTGTGTGGACAGAGGATGGACTGAAGAGGTTTTAAAACACATCCATTAGTTATATGACATTATTTTTATCCTATTTTTCCACTGATTTTTAGATTGAGTGGAAGAGGAGGGAGGGAGAGAAACATTGATGTGAGGGAGACACATCAATTGGTTGCCTCCTGCATAGCCTGTCAGGGCTGGGGATCGAACCTGCAACCCAGGTATGTGCCCTAGACTGGGAATTGAACCCAAAACCCTTCGGTCTGTGGGCTGACAACACTCTAACCGTTAAGCCAAACTGGCCAGGGCTATATGACATTCTTATTAAAAGGGAGGGTCTGAGCTCTTCCTCTCAAACCTGGGAAGGTTTATAACCATTTACACCAATAGAATATGGAACAAATGAAGATATGTGACTTCTGAGGCTGTCATAAAAGGCAATGAGGTTTCCGCCATGTTTCATGGAACACTGAACTTGGGAGACCTGACACCCTGTGAGAAGTGTAACCACCCTGATGCCGCCATCTGTGAAAAAGCCAGGCCACACACAGAGGGCACACGAGGGCTCTCTGCCCAGTCCTGCTCATGTCATCCCACACCCACACCTGACATGTGAGTGAAGAACTCTAAGTTCTTGTGACTCTAAGCGTTGGGGTAACTAATTATGTAGGAATAGCCACTGATATGCCATCACTTCAAAATGTATGATAGACAAACAAAATACCTGTGGACCAAGTGCAATGTACAAGCAGGCAGCTAAAGTTTTTTGCTGTTTGTTTTCTTTGGGTGGGGGGCGGGGAGTGTCTAATTGCTCTATCAATCTGTCATAGTGATTATGGTTTTGTCAATTTCATCATCCAGTTCTGTTTATTTTTAAATTTTATTTTAGAGAGAAGTAGGAAGAGGGCGAGGGAGGGAGGGAGGTACAGGGAGAAGGAGAAAGAAACATTGGTCTGTTGCCCAGATCCAGAGTCAAACCCGACAACCTGGGTATATGCCCTGACCAGGAATCCAACCCGCCACCTTTTGGTGTACGGGATGAGGCTACAACTGAGTCACACCAGCCAGTGCTGTTTTGCTTTTATCATACATTTTAAATCAATGGCTCTTAAATCTTTTGGATTTATTTGGTCAGTTTATTAATATAAAACTTTTGTCCCTTTTAGTGCTAAATTTCACTATACACTTATGACAGAAGAGCATAAAAAGCAAATCACATCAGTTTTATTAGTGAAAATAGTTTTGACCTTGCCTCTGCACTTTGAACTCTGCTTCAAGTATTATGTTCTTCATTTGAGTCCGGTGCCTCTGAAATTTCCTGCTCACCTACCTAAATCCTGTTCGCTGCAGCCTGCCAGTAAAGGGCTAAAACATGCTGCCAGGGAGCACGTGCTAGTAGCTAATCTCAGTACAGAACCTCCGCCCAGTTTTGCCTTCTGCAGTTTTAGTTACCTGTAGTCAACTGTGGTTCAAAAATATTAAATTAAAAATTCCAGAAAAAAACTATTCATAAATTTTCAATTGCATGCTATTCTGAGTAACATGATGACATCTCGCGCTGTCCCACCTGGGATATAAATCATCCCTTTGTCTAGTATATCCACGCTATCCACTACCCACCCTTTAGTCACTTATTAGCTGTCTGGGTTATCACATCAGCTGTGGCAGTATTGCGGGCTTGGGTTCAAGTAACCCTTGTTTTACTTAAAAATATCCCTCAAGGCATTCATATTACTTTTAGTCAGAGTATATTGTTATACGTTCTATTTTATTATTAGTTATTGTTGTTAATCTCTTACTATGCCTAGCTTATAAATTAAACTTTATCAGAAGTATGTATATATAGAAAAAACATAATACAGATAGGGTTCGCTACAATCCCCAGTTTCAGGCATCCACAGGACACCTTGGAATGTATTCCCTGAGAATAAGGTGGGACTACTCTATGGGCAATCCTTTTCTTTATGGGATATTACAGGGTCTATATCTTCCCCTTTAATAAGGTACTTTGCTTCATTCCTTCCTATGTTGGTATCAGTTTAGCAGTAAGTTTAACCAGTTTCTTTATCAATGCTTTCTTAATCCCATTTCTTTCTCTTATATTATTTTTTCTTCTCAGGACACACTGTCTAATGATATATCTAATTATTTCATACAGAATCTATACAGTAAAATTTGAGGTGGAGCATCTCTAAATTGTCTCTATTTTGCCTTACAGATTCTTCCTAAACTGACCCAATTTTACCTAGTCAAAATATTTGAAACACATCTTCAAATCTAGTCATGTCAACTTCTTCACTACTCTCCAAATATGAGAGATTCATGCCATAACCCAATGCCTAAACTTCTGTTACTACTCTACTATTTAATGCTCTCTGCTTATGCAGGGGTTTACAGCTCAAGGTCAAAGAACAAATTACAACTATACCCATTTTTGCTATTTACATAACAAAGGCAGGCTTAGTATAGGGGTGGGAAGTCTCCCAAATCAGCCACCCAGCTGAGCTAAGAGGCTAAATATTTA